TCTTCTTCTTGCTTTACGGCGGATCGCAGACTTATAAGTGCATTACCGCCACGTATCTCTCAATTTTTTACAAAGCTCATCGGTCTGAAAAATGAGGTGTGATCTGATTGGTCAGCTGTCCAGTGCATTGTGATTGGCTGAATACCTGAAGCGTGTGACGGAAATGTTACGCCCCTTACCATATTGTGTGATACTGTGTCCCAGAGCGACGAGACAAAACCAATAAAACCCATTATAAGCGAGGCATTTGTTGCATCCAGTGGGGACATAATTACTGATTATAATGACTTATACTGTCTTTTTACGCATTGCGTTGTGTATCGCGCTGCGTAAACATAAAACCATGTCTGCATTTGTGATCGGAGAAAGAACAACAAGCGCTACTCTACACTGCTCAAAACTCACGTTTGAATCATCAGTGGCAAATTCTTTAAATATGTAAACGTACTTACAGACTGTGAGTCAGAAGCGCCAGACTGTCCTTGCAAAGTTGGAATTGCCTCACTTAGAAATAGCCTTTGTGCACAGCCTTCCCAGGATCAAGATACAGTCCTCCGTAAATGCGCTGCAAACATCTGAATATTTGGGTTGTACTGTTCTGGAACAGTGTTGTAAATACAACTTAACCACCAGAGGCGGACAGTAACTAAGTACATTTACTTGAGTATTGTACTTAAGTACACTTTTTGCTGTGTTCACACTGCAGGATGGATCGACGACAGGAGGTTACACACTGCATGACTTTACAATAGGAAGAATCGCAGACAGCTCTGTCTGGTGCAGGGTTGCCAGGTTTTCGCAACAAAACCCGCCCAATTACTACTCAAAACTAGCCTGAAAATAGCCCAATTCCTTTCGAGGGGGTACCCCAGTAAAAATCGCATTCGGGGGGTAAAATAAAAATTTTTTGGGCGGGGTTCTCCTGGTACAATTCACATTCCAGGGCCTAAATATCAGTTATTGGGGTCGCTTCAACCTGCTTACATAAAAAACAACCAGCGGCAATCGCGGATTGGGCAACACTGGTCCGCAAACTACGTTTCATATAACTCCTCTCCGAACTTCCCGCTGCCCTGTATCTTGGTCTCTCATTGGCTGTAGGCCCAGCGAGATTGTGAATCGCCGACAGCTCTAGATATTTAGCATGCCAAATATTTCACGGGCGTCGGCGACGCATCGGCGATTCCCTCAGATCGCATCTTTGATAATTCACACTGCGTGATTGTCACTCACGTGAACGAACACCGATTTGCCTCCGATTTCGGGCATTTGTCGGCGATTTCGCAAAACCTGTCGGCGAGTGAAAAATCGGGCTAAAATCGTGCAGTGTGAACTCGGCATAAGTGTACTGAAAGAAAGCACGCTTTCATGACTGTTTCTTAACGCACTTTTAAAAAGTGCACTTTGTAATAATGTCAAATTAAACGTTTTGCTCATTTTTAATAATTGTTGTCATGCTTTAAAGTACACTTATTTTGATGCATTGACTAAAGCACATGTAAAGTACTTGGTTATAAATTTAACTGTATTGAGTTGTTTGATATTACATTTAAAGTTAATACACTGCTCAAAAAAATTAAAGGAACACTTTGAAAACACATCAGATCTCAATGGGGAAAAATATCATGCTGGATATCTATACTGATATGGACTGGGTAATGTGTTAGGAATGAAAGAATGCCACATCGTTTGATGGAAATGAAAATGATCAACCTACAGAGGGCTGAATTCAAAGACTCCCCGAAAATCAAAGTGAAAAAATGATCCAGCAGGCTAGTCCATGTTGCTTAAATTTCATTGCAGCAACTCAAAATGGTGCTCAGTTTGTATGGCCCCCATATGGTGCTTGTATGCATGCCTGACAACGTTGGGGCATGCTCCTAATGAGACGACAGATGGTGTCCTGGGGTATTTCCTCCCAGATCTGGACTAAGTTCAATTAATTGCATTTACTATAAATGTAAACTATAATACATTTTCTTTTAACTGCAATTATTAAGTGTCAGAAAACATTACATTCAGTTCACACTTAAGCATATTCTTTTGAAGTATATTATTTCCGTAATAAGTGCTCTTTTAGAAATTATGCTAAAGTGCACTTCTTTTTCACAAGGGAACTTTAAGTGCATACTGATTTTGTCAAGCATATTTCATTAAAAAATGTTGTTGGTACAAATGGCTCTAAAATGTTTCCCAGAAGCCATTGTGTCAACACGTCTGTTCAAACTTTTGCATGGACAGCAGATGGCTGGATGAGAAATGAGAACACATCAGAATGATGCCTTGAGTGATTCACTTGTGTTCATCCTGCTGATTAAACATCAGCACGGACCCCAGGCCACATATCCATCATTCATTTCCAAAGAGAGTTGGCCATTCCTGGCGACATGAGCAACAGTGACCATCGGCTATGCAACGAAGTTGAGCGCAGTTTAACTGCCTCGCAAAGCGGCAGCTATCACTGGGAGTACAGACAGTGAAGCTCACATGATTCATTGCTTTATCTGGTTGTATGCAGCAGAGTGGGAACATCTATTAACAACAGTAGTAGCTCCAGCTTCTACTTGGTAGAAAATAGAAAATTACAAAACAGTTAGATGTCTCAATTTAGGGTTGAAAAAAATTGCAAATCACAGAGAATGAAAAGAAAATCTCTCAAATTTTGGTTTGACCTTTTGAGATTGATTTAACCTATTTATTTAAGCTAAAGGTTAGTCGTTTTACATTGCTTTGTGTTGTTTTGCAGGCACGGAAGGCTCTAGCGGACAGACAGAAGGATCTTGAAGTGAAAACACAGCAGCTTGAGATCAAATTGAGCAACAAAACAGAGGAGGATATTAAGAAAGCCCGACGGAAATCCACACAAGCAGGTCAGAGCATCAGTACAAAGCAGTCCATTAAGCCTGAGCTAATGTGGTCTTACTACACACAATAAACCTGAAGGCACTTTCCTTAGATCCAAGATGTTACTAAACCCATTGAGTTTTGGAACTAAGATGAGTTACAATACTAGTTCAAGTTTGTAGGGGTTGATATTTTGGCTCTATAGTCCAAAAATATGACGATTTATTAAAGGAATATATCGGAGAACTACAGTGGTTGGGAAAGGTTTCAAGGAATAATGACTTAAATTTCATTCTGGTCCTCACACAAAGTGATTGTACGGCTTCAGAAGACTTCAAATACAGCACATTTGGTGCCTGACAACCTGTAGTTGCAAAATGTTTTCATTTAATGGAAAAGAGCAGCTTGGTCATTGTGATAAACATCTTCTTTTGTGTTCTACTTTAGTCAAATGGGTTGTATAGAAATTTCTGATAGAAAGTTCATTATGTTCACTCTTCCTTTAACCCCCCCAGTTTGCGTGTTTTATGGTTTGAAACATATTTGATAGATGATAGATCAGGCCTTTATGGCTCATATAGCATAATACAGGAGAATGTGTAGCTCATACACGAGGAAGAAAAAAAAAGCACCTTTATTTTATTCAGATGCCCAAACTCAGCAAAAATATGCAAATAGGTGTCGATGCTGATACTTATATGGTCAAAAATGTGAAATTCTGATAGCGTGTAATATAAATCAGTAAGATCTTTATAACAGTACAACAGTCGACTTACATAAAATGTTTATAAATTTCAGTTGTCACTATATATCGCACAATAATATGTACAGTAAGATGGTATTTAAATGCTTAGTTTTATGATCAAAGCTTTGTAGTTTTTATTGTTTTTATGTTTTTAATCATATATAATGCAATAAAATGATGAATGAGAGATGTACAAATCAATGTTTCTCAAAAGCCTGATGTATCATATTTGATACTCAGCTTTAACACAAATTTTCTTAAAAAAAAATATATATATATATATATATATATATATATATGGATAATCAAGTAAATCTAAGTTCCTTCAGTCAAGACTAACTAATTGAAATATTAATAACAATATAAAAGTTATTATTATGTTTACTTCATAAAAATCTGTAAAACAAAATCACAGCAACAAGACAGGTGAGCCACAACCTGAAGGTTCGGCATTTTTACAATTATACTAAAAGGGCTTTTACTTGCTAAAAAAATGACGGAAAGCATGAAAATTGTGTACAACAGATTTTTCTGCAAAGTTTTGATCATGTTGACAAAGAGAGGCCTTAGAAATTTGGGTATCAAATATGACAAAAAAGGCTTTATAGGGTTAAATTCATTAAAAAGCTCCGACTATCAGAATCCTCAAGTCACAGCCAGTTTGCCAGCTGTCATAACACTGTAACAGACTGCACTGGCAGACAAACTCCTGGCTGCTCCACTGCTCAACAGGATTGACTTCCTCAATAGTCTCTCGTTTTAAAAACTTCCAGTCCTTCTCTTCCACTCAGGATGGATTGCAAATGAAACAAACCCTCCGTAATCTGGCATCAGTCCTTTTTGTGTTGAGTAAGGAGCTTCCTTTTTAGGTGAAATCTTGTGCGGGGCGCCATTGTTGTAGCGTGCGGAGACTGTGGAGATGAGACTGTGTTTCTGAGCGAGGGGAGAGAGGCATGACAAACAGGATGGAAGAGGACTTTGGCTCAATCCCAGGAGTCTGTGTTTAAGAGGAGCCAGGCCGTATTGGTTCCAGATGGAGTTGGGAAAGGCATGGAGTAATGGTCTATTTTTGCAGTGGGAAAATGGGCCTCATGGGAGCTGACGATCAGCGTGCTAAGCCTCTTATTGCTCCGGACGCCTTCTATCAATGCCAGATTTGTCCTGAGCTGGACACTCACACATCCCTAATGCAGGAAGACCTGGCAACCCTGAGGTTCACACGGTGCGACGCGTCACGGGGGAGAATTCACTCCACCTTCAACCTGTTGGCCTGAGTGACTGGTGCATTATTGAGGACCCTAATGGTGTCTTATTCAGTGCTTATAGACTGACTCCATCAGCACAGAGGACCAAATGAGCATGACAGACTCACGCACAGCCACAACACTGAGTGCTTCAGACTATAACAGCACTGTGAGAGAAGTTCCTGCTTCACTATTCAACTTCCCAAACCACAACATTAATGTGATATGCATAACAATGCATTCACTTCAAAGTAACAGAAAGTGCCTTGATAATAACATGTCTTGTAGTGTATTTAAAGAGGTTAGTACATGGTATTTTCATTGTTTTAGAGTTTGGGTTAGGTATTCCAAGTATTAA